TCACCGACGAGCGGTCAGATTTCCCCGACGAAAGCAATGTGGGCGTGGTCGAGCTTCCATTAAAAGGTTTCGAAAGTGGTCCAAGGAACGAAGCCCCTGAAAATGTTAACAATTTAGGGGTTTCAAAGGCTTATTTAATCGATTTTAGAGTCTACTAATATGTAGAAAATATATATAGGGCTAATTTTTTTTTCTCCCCGACGAATTGTGTTTTTTCTCCCCGACGGGGTGGGGTAGCAATCCCCGACGGGGGTCTGTGGGCCCCGGCTCCCTCTCTCCCCCGCTGGCGCCACCCCTAGTCTGAATCCGCGCCTGAAACATTTCTCCAGCAGTGGACAGACAATAGCTGATGATGAAGCCTCTTGAGTCTAAGTGACAGCTTAATTAATCTACCATATGGGATTACAACCCAGACAAATCTAGCCGTAGGAAGAATCATAGATGACCCACCCTTTGATAATTCCATATTCCTTTTATCATTTGTATTATTTTAACATCGATTTCATTTTAAAAATAGTCTTTAATTCATATGCAATACAGTATTATGCATGCAGTAGAACATTAGGCCTATCCTTAACAATAAATAAGCATAGGGCTATATTTATTGATCTATAGGAAAATACAATTACAGTTTTATTTATTTAAAAAAAAGCTAACTTAAATACGATAACAAAATGTACACAAATGCATACACAAATTGAATAAGTACAGAAGTTGCGGCGTTTTTTATAGGAAATATTTCATGTATAATATACTCTACTATAATTTTAAAACATACTCTGAATATATAATATTTACACTTCACACACCCAGTTGCTACATAAAGTTTAGCCGATCCAGTTAAGGTGTGATTCTTGAGTCATAAAAACCACCGAACTTACCCCCTCCATAATGAAAATAAAGACAATAATTAACCTGCAGTGATTTTCAGGAACAAGTCCGTAAACATCAATGCGATCACAAATATCTAACGCAAATATCATAGTCATCCATCCTGTTGATAACCAGGAATGCGCCTCTTTCCTAAAAAGAAAAAAAACCCCTTAAAATTACAAGGCTTACATCCGTTTTATTGTGCTATACGACAAATTGACCTGAAATATTGCATAAAGTTTTTAATCTATTAGCTGATTTCTGTTTTAAATTTGTGATGTTGAGATACTTTAAAGGAAGAAATGGTTTTGCCAAAGTTGTGTATTAGAGGGCGCATGTTAAGCCGTAAAGCGTACCGTATTATTAATAATATAATGCCCAGTAATAATGCAAAAATAAAAGAATAGCTCTAATATAAATGATTTAGTTGGATTTTTGTAGAGAAAAGCGTAATTCTTGGCATCTCTATCCCAATACATAATCTAAAAATAACCATTTGTGTGCATGGTTTTCAGTAAGCTGGTTTTCAAATATTTTGCTTATTATATATATTATATATTATTATATATTATATATATTTATTATATATATATCATATTATATGCATATTTTATATATAATATATCATATTATATATAGCAAAATCTATATTAGACTATAGGCATATTATCATGCATATTCTTGAAGAATTACTATTATAATTAATATAAAAAAGAACCCCAATGAATTGTCAATTAATAAATAATGTCTTGGTAATACGTGACACGGGTCAAAACAACTGAGTTAGCTAAAACCCGCCTGTAGGTGAAATAGCGTCGACAATCGTTTAAAAATTAACTGATAATGGTATATAGGCCTAATCGTTATCCAAAGGAACATAGGAATTAGGTCGTTTTGAAACTTAATCTTAAGCTTATATTATAATGACCCATCACATTCACAGTTGGATTGGAGTTGAATAGCTTGGTGGTTAAGATGCTTTCATTGCAATACAGAGCCATATGTTTAATTCCTGTCAATGTTGCAGTATTTAGTAGAAGTAGAAATGTAATAAAAGTCTTGTAATAGATTTTAAAAGTTTTAGGTCTACAATTCACGTAAAAGAATTCAGTAGGCTTTAAGAGGGCATTGTATTTTGTATTGTATTGTACTGTATTCTGTTACGGTCACCCTCGTTAAATAAAGTTGAATAAACATTACACTCAATACATACCGGATACTTAATCCCGTTTCTTCTTTAAACATTTTTTCGGATATATTAACTTTATCCTCACTGAATAGATAGAATTCGACACCCGTGTGATTCATAGACAGATTTTTCGCTATATTGAAATACTCGTTCTTTTCTCTGTTGATATCTGTTAAATACAGCCACGGTATAACAACCATTTTAGGCTCTTCACTTTCGAGAATTTGAGCCTTTCCTATGTTGGCATGGCCTATAACTCTGACTGTGGTGCGTTTACCAACATCCTCTTCAAAGCCTATAGTAGGCGCAGAGTTCATTCTCAATACACATTCTGTGCTGTCAATTCTTGAGCCAGCGCTGCTGTTGAGTACATGGCCAGAGTTTGTGACAACAGCGCAGTGTCCACAGTGGAATTGCAATGCCTAAAATAAGACAAAGATGGAAATTGCTAATTTTGCTTAAATGATTTGAATGACAAATGACGTATCCAAGGGTAAAGTTTACTTCTTTTCCCTATGTTTATCGTTCCTTCCAGTGGCGTAACGCTGGGGCCAATAGCCTTGTGATTTTCTGAGACTGGGACACGTGGGATTTTAGATGTGTTCGTTTTTAATCATAAGTCTGCGGACCGCCGGACTTTAGCGCGTATGCGTTTTGCCATTCTTAACCCATTCTGCATTGTTTTACATTTTCTTAGTAGAAATATAATGATCGAAATATAATGAAGAGAAGAAAAGATAATTTATTAAAATTAATGTCCCGGAAGACTATTTTATATTTGATTCTTTTGTTTTGAAATGTTTTTGTTGTACAAAGACAAGAGAATCCTCTATACAGTAGTGTCTTAACCTTAAAGCGATATTATAGCCACACCTTATTTTCCACTCTGCATTCAAACAATTGTAAACATTTTTGTTTTCTAGATCCCTAGAAATAACATCTGAGGCGTTTTGGACGATCAATTTACTTTCCAAAAAAGGAGGGGGTAGGCTGGCCCGCCCCACCCCCTAAATCCGCATCTGACTACCGGTTCTAGTGATCAAATGGGTGACAAACCAGGCCTACATTAGATTGACAGGCACTGGTGGTAGATTTGTCAACCATCAGAGCAGGTCAAAGATGTTGGTAGCCAATCTCGCAGATTCGTTATGTCACTGCCTCTTCCACTAATACTATAAAATTTGGAACGGATAAATGTACCTATGGTGGAGTGTTAACATTTCTCAACCTGGAAATGTTAAAACTATAGAATCTGGTGTCGGAACCGGATTTTGAAACCCGTGAACTTTGATTTGGTTTATGACTACTGCAAAACTCCGTAGCCTAATTCGGCAAATGGAGAATAAAAATTGAATGCAATCTGTTTGGTAGACTATAGGACTCTAGTTACGCCATTCACACCCCTTCTCCATTCTTGAGCAGTCGGTAAGTGTCAGTGATAATGCTCATTCAAAACAGATCTGGTTCCAGTTTCACTATACGCATACTTACTTTGTCATTTCTTAAGTTATAGTATCTTGCGTCACTGTCATCAATTGTATAACGAATGTTTGTAGTGCTAGATGTATGTCTCCTACTCGGACCTGCGTCCCTCCTTGAGTATTCTTCGATGGCGTCACTGTTTTTAAACGCGTTTGTGCTTCTCGTTAAGGTATTTTTTTCTTTGAAAACAGTCACATTGCTATCGTAAAGTTGTTTATTTTGATAGATGTACGTGAGCATCATGATGCCATTGACTATTAGAAGTATTGTGATCAGTTTTTCATTCTGAAAAGAAAGTAAGCGTCTCATAGATGCTGAATGATACATCTGTAAAAAGTAATATTAATACTGAGAATACAGTGGTATAAAAACAGTGAATGAAGATTTTTGGAAGCACATGGGAAACATGAAAGTTTGGGTGCGGCCCTCGGTGTTAAATTAAAAAAAAAAAAATTATTTTGGCCCTCTGACCGATTTTTATGCCCACCCTAGGGTTAAGCTTATACATTTTTCGTGTTAGTAAAAGTGTTCTATCATTGTTGCTCAATTGCTGTTTATACAAATTTGGCCGATTGCCTCGAAATGCAAATTTGTGAAAAAATAGAATATATTACTGGTTTATTCAAGTAATTCAAGGCACTTTTGGGCATATATGCATACTCTAATCTCACAGCGATAGGTTTTATTCCACAAACATTGACAACTGATTCTTCAGACCTTGTGCACCCTTTTTGTGGTCCTTATGTAGTATTTATAGTTTATAACTTCAAAATTATTTTCTAAAGTTACAACGCTTGAAGCTTATGAGGATTCAGAAGAAAGTATTTGCTAGTTTATGACCGAAAAATAGCCGATCACCACATTTTTGGAACATCAGAAATGCTACTTTCCACTTTTAGTTCGTATTGAAGTTTCGACGGTTCTTCAATTTTAATGGTCGATGGATTTTTTTCAAGGTTATCACTCAAAATATAATTTCTTGAAAATAAACCCGACCATAACAGTGTTAAGAAATCGCCACAACACAAATGTCAGCTTACTGACACCCGAACTTACCAAAATGCTAATACTTTTTGGTTATATGCCTATTTTTATATCTTATAAAATGTATAGGGCCTACTATGCCTGTTAATATTGATTCCAAATATTAAAGTAGATTGTTCAGTAACGTTTCACAACTAACCTAGTCGTTTCATCAGACTGGCAACCCATCTTTCTTTTTCTTTTCCTTTTTTTTCTTTTGAGAAGGAAAAAGACGGGTTGCCTGTCTAATGAAAAGCTAGGCTAGTGTTAGTGGTGAAACGTTACTGAAGATTAGTAAGTAATATTCTAATTTAATACTTAATATAAAAAAAGTATCAATTAAAGTTAAACAGTTTATCCTCATTCCAAATTAATTTATTCAAAGAAAAGTATACTATGCCTATTATTATTTTGGAAATAAAGACACTAATTTAGTTTTATGAAATTATTTTACAAACAACTTGTGACTTATTCAATTATTATAACTGATATCTTATTTTGAAATATCAGAAATTTAAATATTGTATGAAGTACCTCATACCGTATCTTGTGTATCTAAATTACAGATATTTTAGTTTCTTTTAAATGCAATTATTATGCTATTTTTTATTCTAATAAATATCAATTGATTCAACAACAAAACAATAAACCTCATTAAGTTATGCATATATGTCCATGTCTACGAATTCAATCCAGAAAAAGAGAAACAAAAAATATAAAATTGCAATGTATTGGAAAAACTCTATGAATCGATAACATCAATAGTCGTCAGTCTATATTATATCAATAGACTTTGAGATTTGAGAAAAATCAAATATAAATTACTGTTGAACGTGGCCTGATAACTCATATTCTGTTTCAATTACTCTTTTCGGTATACTACGTATTATTTACAATAAAAAAAACTTGTTCATATTCCTATCTTTGTGAGCCCTACATCTATATTATTCATAGTTCGTTGTGAGTGAATCACATGTATACAGTTATACTTTTAATTTTTTTAAATGTAAAAATACAATAAATGTTACAAAAATATGGGCCACGTAAATCGAATGGCATTAAACATTAAACATGAAGGCAAATAATACACGAATAATTGCGATATTATAGAATTAAAAACTTATGCTTGATAAATAATAAGTGAAGTGAACGAGGTCTATGCAGATTTGGTGATGGCTTACGGTGCCTTACCACACAAAATAACTTTCTCTCTATGTATCTAAACTAAAATTTAACTAGGCTATGGATTAGAAGCAGTGTCGATATTGAAAAATATGTTCACTAATGTTATAATTGGTAAATAAATACCCAAACTTACCAGAGATAGTGTTTTAACTGTATTCATTCTGTTATCCTTTTACATTACCGATGTTGACCGTGCCATTTGTAAGACATGTCCGATTCGAAGACTGTCGTTGCATGCGTGCTGATGGGCTATACTTTGGACTCTGAACTGACAAACAATTCCTGTATGTAGGTCTATCAGTTGGTCAACATGAACAATGTATGGCAGAGGAAGTATGGCATTGTATTGGATATTTTCATTTCATTTATTTATTTTTCCAAGTATCGACTTTGGCTCGCTCATAAGCCCCATGGTGGACATTTATTAAATTCCATCCGTTGATTTATTTATATACATTAGCCTTTTACAATAATAGGGTATAACATTTAAAGCCAGGCTCCGGAGAAAAACTATGTTTGATACGTTGTACAACTGATTTTTCAGACATAAAATGCATGTTCAACAAAACATAAAACAGATGTTTTTCAAAGAAGATTTGATGGTGTGAACCAAGTTTTTGTTATTCATTTAGGGACGAAGCCAGGATTTTGAAAGAGGGGGAAGGAGGGATGGGGTGGCGTTATGCGAGGTAAGTAGTTGGGTCATACCCCTGCCAACAACTGGGAGCAGCCCCCTGGGAGGTAACACAATCTGAACGTTTTAGGACTGTTCTGAGAGGATAGAGTGAAAATGGCAATAGACGCATCATAAATAATATTAGTAAATCTAGCAATAATTCTAAATAATTCAACATTGGCGGATCCAGTAATTCGAAAGATAGGTGATTCAGGGAGGAGACTTTCACAGACTGAGGGTCCACCCACCTCAGTCCCCACCATGGTTGAGGCTGAGGTAAGAATATTTATAGTAATATAGGGCACCTATAGATGACCGGAAATTACACACTCAGACTTAAATTTAAATAACACTTTGGTTTTTTTTTTACATTAAAAAAAGTTTAAGGAAATAGTACCTCTAAATGGCCAGAAATGACACTTTTATTAAAATTCATCAACATCACATCACCATTATATATATATACCTTATACACATCT